GAGTGAGATGATATCTCCTGGTTGTCTTGATTTGCATCTCTCTCAGGGCTAGGGATTTTGAACATTTCTTCATGTGTTTGTTGGCCATCTGAATGTCTTCCTTGGTGAAGTGTCTGTTCATTAATTTCATTTTTTATTTCTTCTAGTACCCATTCATGTTCAAGCAAGTTGCTGTTCGGCTTCCAAGTGTATTATTTTTTTCTCCTTTACCCTCTTGTTATTAATTTCTAATTTTGTGGTGTTGTGGTCTAAGAAGATACTTTGTATAATTTGTTTTTGAATTTGTTGATGCTTACCTTGTGACCTAGAATGTGATCCATTCTGGGGAACTTTCCATGCACATTGGAAAAGAAGGTATACTGTGCTTTTTTTGGGCTGCATTAGCCTATAAATATCTATGAGATTGAGTTGGTTTATTGTGTAGTTTAATTCTTGAGTGTCTTTGTTGAGATTCTTTTTGGTAGTTCTATCTTAAGAGGGGTGTATTGAAGTCTCCAAGTGCTGTAATAGTGTTCTCTGTTTCCTTTTTCAGTTTTGTGTGTTTTATATATTTTGCAGGTCTTTCATTGTTTGTTGTTGTTGTTATGTGCCATCAAGTCGGTTGCAACTCATAGCGACCCTATGTACAATAGCCCTAAACCCTTCTTTATCCTGTGCCAATCACACTGCCTCTGACACACCCATCCCTATTACTCCAGTCACTGAATCAATCCACCTCATAAAGGGTCTTCCCCTCTTGCACTGTCCCTCCACCCTCCCAACATGATGTCCCTCTCCAAGGACCTGTCCCTCCTTACAACATGTCCAAAGTATGTCTGATGAAGCCCCAGAATCCTTTCCTCCAAGGAGCAGCCTGGTTTAACCCTCTCCAGGATGAATCTGTTTGCTTTCTTGGCAGTCCATGGTACATTCAATACTCTTCTCCAGCACCACAGCTCAAAGGCATCAATTCTCCTTTTATCCTCCCTAGTCATTGTCTAGCTCTCTGATGCGTAACAAGTGATTACAAAGGCTATAGTGTGTATCAGATGCACCTTAGTCTCTAGAGTGATACCATTGCTCTTCAGTACCCTGGAACGGTCCCTAAAAGCAGACTTTCCACCACAATACATTTTTTAATTTCCTGGCTACTGGTGTCAAGAGTGTTGACTGTGGAGCCAAGCAAACTAAACTTGTTAACAATCTCAATCTTTCACCATTCATCCTGATGCTGCCAATTGGTCCAGTGGTGAGAATCTTTGTCTTCTTGACATTGAGCCTCAATCCATATTGTAGGCTGCAGTCCT